CCCCCCCCACGCACACACATTATTTTACACACAGTGTGATCAAACTCTCAAAAGATTACACAATTCTGCATACAAAGACTTCCAAAAAACATGTAATTTTAAATATACAATATACACTCTTTACAACTTTAGTGTTAGAGGCACTAGTTAAAATATATATATATACATAAGTGTTCTTAAAAATTCTATTTACTGCTTCTGGTTTGGAGGAGGAGTGAATGGAGGGATGAGAATCATCACACAAAGATGAATGCTGTACCTGAAACCAGGCAACCACAAACTATGTCACAGCAGGATCCTATCAAGATTGTAAACACACTTAAAACACTGAGTTGGTTTTTTTTTTTTTTCCACAAAAAAAAAAGTTGGTATTGCATAAATAAAAGGCAAAGCCTCTATACTTTGCCCATAGGGATACACAATACTGAATACCTTCTATTTTCCCACTTATGAAAGCAATAGGTACAATCTATCAACTGAAGCATTAGTGAAGACTGTATTAATGAATAATAGGAAAAACCCATCTCTCCATAAATGCATAAAAATTTCTATCCTTTAAGAGGCTTGAAACATTATTAAAATGACTTTAGAGAAGGTCCGTGAAATTTAGTTCTCAACTTAGGAAACCACCTCAGGGATCATTTGTGAATGTCATCTGGGATCCAGGCAGCCTCAGCAACAAAAGGGAAAACTTGTTGAGATCATCCAAATCTAAAATTCACATACAGTTTTACATCTGGACTGAATTAATCTTTTCTTGGTACTGGCTTTCATGTAATAAAATAATTGTTTGCAGGTTTTTTTTTTTCCTTCTTCTTCTTCTTCTTCTTTTTTTCTTTTTTAACCCACAGCTTTGGAAATCATAATGGCAATACCCAAGTTGAAAACTACAAAGAATTCCTTTATCAAAAAAGTTAGTTGTGAGACAGGATTCATTTACACTAAACTCTGAACCTGACAGCTCAGTCAAAAACAATTCTGTTTGAAACTTTCATTTCAAGCATCTGCCACAAAAGGCTACAGGTTATTATGTCATAAGTTCTGAAAGCCAAAAGCTTTATAAGCCTAGTTAAATGAGGAAACAAGGTCCAGAAACTAGAAAAAGCAGTACACCCCTCCCCCAATTCAGCTAGCCGGTTAGATGATACATTTTAAGAACTTGTAGCTAAAAACTGTTACCTAGCACACACTGACATTGTGCTTTCAAAAGCTGTGTCTTCATCATGGCCCCTGTTGTCTTCAGATGTTTACCTTTAGTTAGACCCAGGGACATTTTAAATCTGCAAGTAAAAATTATATGCTGGAAGGTGGTACCTTCCCTCTACTGCCCTCCCCCTAAATGAAGGGGATAGAAAAAGAGAAAATTTCCAGTCCCTTAAAACGTTTTGAGCACTCCAAGTACTGATGATAGCTGTGGTCCATCAGTGTCAGATCTCAGGGATTCTTACAAGCAACTCAAGGGGGGGAAATTAGTTCATATTACAGTTAGTCTGCTTTCTGGAAAAGATATCCTGCAGATAACTTGATACTAGATATCCCTTGGGGGACCCTTTTCATCTAATATCCCTAGCAATGGTCCATTTTAATATGAAATATGAATCCAGTATGTTTACAAACAGACCATAAAAAAAAGTATTCAAATGTCAACTGTCTCATATTGTAGAGTGTTTTCATTTTAAACACTACACTTTTATTTCTCAAAAACACATCTAAGAAAAATGTTTAGGTGCGAGATAGTTTCATACTACAAAGACAACAGCAAAGGCATCTGTTTTCCTTGCCTCTCTTCGGATTTTCTCCCCTCCCCCACTCCATCCTGCAGGCAGTTTGTAGGTTTTGGTGGCTGTTAAAACGACTTTCTACAAGTCTCTTAGATTCCCAAAAACTTCTCCATTAACATTGCTGAGCCTAAAGCTCCGCACTGCTCTAAGAAGGAAAACAACAAAAGTCAAGAATCTTTTTAATGACAGATGTATTACGGAAAATTTTCCCAACAAAGTTTTGATGCTGTGAAATATCAACTCTGAAATCACAGAAAGGAAATGACTTACATTCTTGAAAAATGAAGCCACTAGCAGCTTTCTCCAACAGCATTTTCTAATCCCTAAACTACACCCTGTGCAAAGGGGAGTAGAGTATTCCGTGCAAAAACTAAGTTCAAATAGATGTTTATAAAATCAATAAACAAACATCATCAGGTCCCAGAGAAGGGAAAAGGACTCATACTCGGAAATTTTAGCAGATACTTTTACTTCTCATTCAGAAACGCTGGAGAGCACAGGCTTGAAATCAAAAGCAATCCGAGAACGACTGTTGAAGTTTTCTTTCCCAGCTGTAAGCAATACACAGCTCCTGAGGGAAACACTGGCAAAATAGATTTTTTGCAAGGAAATAAAAAACAAAAGGGTAAAGGAGTAAAAGAGCTAATATTTCTTTGGTAACTAGGTACACAACTGTACGGCCTGCAAATCTACCAGCTTTTTTCTCAACTTTAATACATGCTTATTTTGACAGCTTTCCATCTATTCAAGCCTTCAAGAAAGCGCCCTCACCATGAGTCCCACGTTCCGGGACTCGAGGCGCTGTGTTAATTCCTATGGTCCTCACACGGGGTAGCCCCCAGCTGTCCAGACCTGACAGTGCCTGGTTCGCCCCGAGGACAGGCTGGTGATCTCCGGGGCCAGGGCCCAGCCAAAGCGTCGCAAACTCCTTCAGGGTCCCAAATTCTGCAGGCCGTGCCCTCCACTCGCATCCCACAAAGGCCCCCTTCTGGCGCCGACGAGCCCCAACTCAACCTCAGGCTCCGACAACTAGGTACTTCAGGGGACAGTGGAACAGCCCGGCTGCCCGACCCAGTGCGCGCACAACAAGGAGACACGGCATAGCCCCCAGGAATGCGGGGCTCAGGTGCTGGCCTCTGCGCTCAGTCCTAGCAAGCAGCCCGCGAGTGCGCGACCGGCAGACGCCCCCACAACAGGGCCCCGAGGACCACCAGAGAGCCCTACGATCCCGGGAGCCCCGCGATCCGGGAGAACGGGTGCAGCCTGCAGCAGGGGTCGGCCTCCCGCCTTCGCCGCAGAGGTGTCCCGGGAGCTCCGCGCCTCACGCGCTGCCGGCTCGGCTGCCCCGGGGCCCCGTCCTCCCGCCCCAGCACGGAAGAGCTTCAACTCGCGGGGAAACGACATTCCCGCCTGGGGCCCCAAGTTCTATGCCAACGGGACGATGAGAAGACGAAGAAAGACGCGGAGAGGGGGGCACTGCCTTCTCTGGGGCTCCCGAGTTCCAGACAACCTCACCTAAGTCCCGTCCCGCCGCCGCGCCCGGCCAGCAGGGGGCACAGCAGGCGGCCAGGGCGCGGTGGCCGGGCGAAGGGGCGGGCTGTGAGGTCCCTAAGGCATCAGGTTCCCACTCGTACCTCGAAGAAAGTCTGAAGCACCAAGCGTCGGACTCCCGTCAGCTCCCTGTCCCTTCCAGCCGGCTCCGCTCCTGCCCTGGTCCTCTCAGCCCCTCGGCCTAAACAGCCGAACGAGGGCTCCGCGTCCGCCCCACCCCCGCCCACGCCTCCCCGGCCCGCCCCCCCCTAGGCTCCTCCCACAGCCCGCCCCGAGGTGGTGGCTGAGACTGTTACAGAGAAAGCCCTGCGCAGCCTGCTCCCGGCCGCACGTGGAGCGCTGCCGGCTCCGCCCTGGATCCAACCAAGCATTCCTCGCGGGGAAGTACCAAGAGTCAAGCGGAAAGAAAGCGGAGGGATTCTCCCCTTCAGGGCCCTAGAGAAGGAGGCCAGCTGAAATAAAATTATTCAGTGTGAAACGTGGAGATTTGAGGCTTTTATCTCTCGGCAGAAAACGAAGCTGGAAGGGGATAGTGTCATTTTCCCCCTTGATGGTCGAATGGCTCCCTCCGCCGCCAGGCCCTGTCTCCCCCGGGATGCTCCTTTGCTTGCAGAGTACAGCTGGCGGGGGGCGGCTTTTTGGCTTGAGCACTATTTTACTAATTTAGAGCGACTAAGGAGAGATAACTGAAGAGGAGGTGGTCCCCAACGGCGGAGGCTTCGTGTCTCCTGTCGTCTCGATGATCCTGTATCCCTCACCCACCTGCCCACCCACCACTTGGGATGCCGCGCCCTCGCAGTTCTTTTAGTGGATGGAAGGGGCCGCTACCGAGGAGGCCAAGCCTCACTCCCTAATTCTGCCTCTCAAGTTTTTCAGGTAGACACAGCTTCTTTCTGCTGTGATGTTAGTGCTTGTGACCCCTTCAAGAATTTCATTTACCCTTTCCCGGTAGTGCCTGGCGGGGGTGACGAGGGAGGCAAGGAGCCAGTGGAAGTTGTTTTAATGGCACTAATGGAGCCAGGAGATGGAGGTTTCTACGCACCTTTAGTTGTGTCTGGTTGGGAAGGGGAGAGCTCCTCTCCGGTCAGCCTGCGCCACCGGGACCTGCAGACGGCAGAAACTGTGCTGGGGACTGGAGACGAAGGTAGAGGCTCAACCTCTACCTGGCCCCCGGACCCACGACCTACAATGCTCCAACCTCCTAGGCTCCTGCCCACCCTACATCTTTCTTTGACTGCTGACCCAGCGACCCTTGGCCAGGGGCGGCAAAATGTCCCACAAAAGGTTCACTAAAATGTGAGGGTGTGTGTGTGTGTGTGTCTAGTTTTGAGAGTTGGGTTAAGAAGACAAGAAAGTAGAGGAGGCCTGAGAAACGACGCTACCCAAAATCACATTCATGCTGACAGACCCCAACTTGAAAATTGATCTACTCTTGATATAAATACATAAAGTGAGCAGTTAGTGGTTAGAAGTATATGTGTTTGTGTACTTTGCATGACAAAGGAAATTCAATTTTGTGTTCATTACAGCTGAAAACTCACTTGGAATAGTCTCCTCATTCATAGCTTTTACATTTCGGGAACCTGACATTAGGCTGGATATTAGCAATTGTGATCTTTTATAGTTTTACAATTGATGAAGCACTCAGCTTATTCCTGATGAAGCAGGACAGTTTCTAAGGCTATTCCAGATGATTTAAAATCATGACTCTGTGATTCAATAACGAAGAATCAAACTTATGTCATCTAGTCGAATCCGACTCATAGACACCCCTACTGGGTTTCCGATGCTGTACATCTTTACAGAAGTTGATTGCCCCATCTTCCTTCACACCAATCAGTTGGTGGGTTTGAACCACGTACCTTCTGGTGACCAGCCAAATGCTTTACCCACTAGGCCACCAGAGCCACTCCTATGATGAGTTCAGAATGAGTACATAGTCAACACTGGTTGATAAGGTCTTAAATTAGTTTGATGTCTAATGAAACAATTCAGCATGTGAAAAGATAAATGAGTAATACCTTACTATCATGGAAAACAGATTCAAAAAAGATTTATTTTCAGGCTTCATGCATGAAAATCTAGCAGATAAAGAACAACATTGTTAGACTGTGAAACATTGCTACAAATATAAAATAATTAGGTAACCCAAGAAGGAAAGTGTTTTAAACAGACTTACTGTTTTTGCATATGTTCAAGATTGGGTTTATTATCTGCAATTAGACTGCAGCAAAATTTACTATGTGAATATTTTCTGAATTGTAAAGATCATATTGTTGTTGTTATGTGCCGTCGAATCGGCCCCGACTCATAGCGACCCCTCCTTGGGTTTCCGAGGCAGTATCACTACGGAAGTAGGATTGCCCAACCTTCCTTCCGAGGAGTGGCTGGTGGGTTTGAACCGCCAGCCGTCTGGTTAGCAGGCAAGTAACTTAGCCACTATGCTACCAGAGCTATGAAATCTATAATATGGACTCTTACATAACATGTTTTGTAAACTAAGTACTTTAAAATTCTTAAAATCAGTCTTATTACCCCCGTAATATTTTAAAATTCTGAAAGATTTGCTTTGAAAGTTAATACATAATCCACTAAAGATGAAAGTAGAACTGAGAAAAAGTATTATTTCAGAGATTTCTTATTTCAGGAAATTTTTTTGTACTTATTACAATAAAGAATACAGTTTTTTGGCAGGTATTTAAAGTTACATTTTATGATTTCTTTGAGGTTGGGAAATTGTTTTATTTTCACTGGTACAATGAGAGGTTTTCCCAAATATGGAATATTGCCCATCAGTAAAATGTCATAAACACGTCTTACTGTATTACTTTTTCTGTGGCATTTAAATATTAACACAACTCTATATTTTTGTTTTTGTCATTCTCAGGAAAAAGTTACAAATTCCAAGAATTTATTGAGTACTTCCATGCTCCAGGCACAGGGTTAGACTCTGGGATTCAAAGATTAAAAATACTCCTGAATCTTGTAAGTAGACAGGCATGTAAATAAACTATTACAAAATACTTTAGGGAGCTCTGGTGGCATAGTGCCTAAGGCATTTGACTGCTAACCAGAAGGCTGGTGGTTCAAACCCACCAGCAGCCACTCCTCAGAAGGAAAATTAGGCAATCTACTTCCATAGAGATACTGCCTCAGAAACCCAAGAAGGGGTTGCTATGAGTTGAATTGACTCATCAGCAGTGAGTTTGTTTTTTTTGGTTTTAGTGCTTAAAGGAGCTCTAGTGGCACAGTGCCTAAGGCATCTGACTACTGACCAGTTCGTTGGTGGTTCAGACACACCAGCCACTCTGCAGAAGCAAGACTTGACAATCTACTTCAACAAAGATTTACCACCTCAGAAACCCAATGGGGCTTTCTATGAGTCAGAATCGACTCAATGGCAGTGGGTTTGGTTTCAGTGCTTAAGGAGCTCTGGTGGTGTAGTTCCAAAGGCATTTGACTACTAACCAGAAGTTTGATGGTTCAAACCCATCAGCCACTTCACGGAAGGAAGACTAGGCAATCTTTACATAAAGATTTACCACCTCGGAAACCCAAAGGGGGCTGCTATGAGTCAGAAACAACTCGATGGCCTTGAGTTTGGTTTTAGTGCTTGTTATGGTGGAAAAATGCAGGAGGAGCAGTAGAAGGCATCAGATGTTCCCTGTGAACTGAGAAGGGAAGGATAAACAGAAACTTGGGAACAAATTGGTTGAGACAGTGGTTATTAAACTTGTTTGACATTGGTATCACTTGGCCAGCTTCAAAAACTTTTGGTGATTGTGTCCTAGGCATATGAGATGTGGCCTGAGCTTTGGGAGTTTTTAAAGATCCCCGGGCTATTCTAAGTGCAGACACATTTGGGAACCATGGGTTAAGGTATCCTGGGTAGAAAGAGCATAGAATGAGCACATGCACCAAGATGTGCTTTCAAAGCATGATGCCATAGTGTCACATTGTGTAACAAGAGGGCTCAAATATTACTTTCAGTGTAAGGAACACAATTATATAGAAAATGAAGAGCTATGAACTTTTATAATTCATAATTCCCTTACAAATGTTTTGTAAACACAAGATAGTATGTCAACAATTAAAATGAGTATATTTTTAAAGAAAAGGTTATTTGGGACACAGAGTGTTTTAATACCAAAATATAAGCTCCAGTCAAAAAGACTGGACAGTAATTTGACATACTGGCTTTTAAAGAATACTTTCCAAAATTAAATACTGTTCATCATTCTGATGAAGGTCATAATAAACAAATTAAGTTCGTTTTTCTTTTTAGTAATTACTGAGGTTCATTTTAAAAGCAAATTCATTTTAAAGCAAACAAAGTAAATTTAAATATATCTTACTTTAAGGTTTTAAGTGTCTGTGTAGCTGTTGTATATTAGTTTGAAAAACAAAATAATATGTGGAAACTTAAATAGTTCTATGATATAGTCTTGGTTTTCACTAACTTAAAAATGCCTTTTTTATTACACTCAGCTAGTATATTACAACGTTCTATAACATAAAAAACACAAAAAGAGAAGTTAATGCTCAAGAAAATCAGGAGAATGGATTATCAGTCATTTAATCCAGCTGTCTAGTTATTGAGGAGGCCTTGTGTGTCACAAATGGTTAAGTGCTCAACTACAAACTGACAGGTTAGTGACTAGAACCCACCCACAGGCATGTGGGAAGACAGGCCTAGCGACCTGCTTCTGAAAGGTCACAGCCTTAAAAACCCTATGGAGCAGATCTGTTCTGCACAGAGCAAGTCCCCATGAGTCAGAATCAACGCACAGCAACAAATCTTTATACACCAGGAGCCCCTAACCAGGAATACAAATTGTTTTGCAAAGGCAGTGCAGCATAGGGATTGATACCATGTAGCAATCTGACTCAGGAGGACAGGAAGATCTAGATTTTAAGATAAGAAATTGAAAAATACAATTCTGTGCTCTTGGCCTTTGCACTTGGAGAAAATCTTTAACCTAGGATTATTTGATTTTTGGAGGGTAATGTTTGATTTTAGTACAGCATACAAAAGTTTGACTTCTTGACTGCTGCTTCCATGGGTGTTAATTGTGTATCCAAGTAAAATGAAATCCTTGACAACTTCAATTTTTTCTCCATTTATCATGTTCCTTATTGGTCCAATTGTGGGGATTTCAGTTTCTTTATGTTGAGGTGTAAATCCATACTGAAGGGTGTATTCTTCATCAGTAAGTGTTT